CGCGTCTCTTGCCTTGTCCTGTCCTGCTCCACGTCTTCTCGGCCCCCCCTCACGAATTTGCATCTCCCATCCACAACTTGACACCCACGCCGCGACACCTCGGCCGCCGCTCTCCTCCTCTGCTCTGCCTGTCATTTACGCACATTCCCTACGCCACAATTCTCTACTCTTGCGGCACCGTGCCTTTTTTTCCGTGCGTGACTCTCGCTGCGATGGGACAGCAAGTTGTGTCTTGCCTAGTCGAGTGAGTACGTGGCTGGCTCGAGCTCGCCGAGCCTCACGCGCGGCGGTCGCAAGCACACGCGTCTTGCTGCGCTCCTCTCTGCCGGGGAACGACGTGCTGCACTTTCCCCTTGGCGCCGCCCGCGTCTCTCCCTTCTACCAGCGTTCTGCGTCTGCGGGTCGCTCCTCGTTTGCCACTCCTGCGCATTGGGGGCACGCCCTGCTGCCGGGTGCGGGGTGGTGCCAAAATCGGCCACGTCTGCGCTGCGCGAGCAGCAAGCAGTCGCTCCACCCGCGCCGCGGCGGCGGCGCGCGGCGACGTCGTCAGAGCGCGGCCCTCGATCTCAAGCTGCCAACGCCGCCCGCCGCCGCGCGCGTCGGCAAGCAACGCTGCGTAAGCGTCCGACGAGCAACGCCCCCCTCTGCCTGCCATCACAGCAAGAGGCGTCCTTGGTCCTCGATCGGCACCGATGCCTGCGCCCGCCCGCCCTGCAGCACCGCCGGCCGCGCGCCCCATCGTGCGTCAGATAGCGCTAGCAAGAGCGAAGCCGTGGCATTCAGTTGGATCAGTGTGAAAGGGTCGTGTGTGTGGGGTGCGACGTGATGGGGATGGGGTATCGACAAGACTGAGGCGCGATGAGAGAGAGTACATGAGGAACAAAGAGAGACGAGAAAGTGGGACAGTGGGCGAGCAAATGAACGACTCGAGCGCCACGCCTTGGACGGCGGCGCCACGCTGAGACGATGCGACGAGCGAAGAAATCTTGCCCCGGCCGAATTGTCTTGAAATGACGCAGCCCTCTTGACGGGACGAGTGGGAGAAGCAGCGTGAGGGGGGGGGGGGCGCAGACTTGCACGCTGAGAAAGGCGTGTGTGGAAGCTTGGGCACGGAGCTGGTCGGAATGCTCAGGTCGGGCGAAAGGCAAAGGCTCGGGGCACGAAAAAGTGCAGCTCGAGGCCGTGCGCAGCCATCGACCCTTGCCCTTGCTCTACTCTTCAGACGCCCATGCCGGCAAGTCTCGAGTCGCGCATGTTCAATCGGCCCTGCTTCGTCTCCAGAATACACTTGATCTCCAGCGGCGGCTCGTCGCCCAGGTTCTGTGCACGCGTCCAGCGCTCGAGACGCGTCAGACCGAGCGCGGGGCCGTAGCGTGGGTCCACTGCAGCGAGAAGAGCGTCAGGTGAGGGGAGAGTGGACGGAGGAAGGGGGAGGGGGGGGGGGGAGAAAACGCACGGTCAAAGGCACGAAGGAGAGAATCGATGCGAGTCTCGTTTGAGGCGTGCACTGAGGCAGAAGGACGGGGTGAGCGGGAGTTGAGAGAGCGCGTGGGATGAAGCCAAGCGGGCAAAAGAAAGGCATGGACTCGCAAGCCTCGCAAGCCTCGCAAAGGTTGCCGAGCCCAGCTTTGGCCATGTTCCCTCGGCAACGCGCCCCTTTGCCACCTTCTCCCGTGCTTGCATTCCCATTCCCATGCCCTGACTCTGCTGGCTCTGCGTACCCCGCGCGCGCGCGCCAAGAAACTCACCGAGCATGCCCTTGCCCATGCCCGCTCTCTGCTTCTCCGTCTCCCAAACGTCGTCCCACGCCGGGTCGTCAACATGCAGTTGCACGGCGTGCTCGGCCGCCTGCTGCTCCTCCTTTGTGCTTGCCTGCTGCAGCGCCTGCTTCTCGGGACTGGCGGCGCGCGACGCAGCAGAGGCGGATGTGCCCGTGGAGCTGGTGCGCTTCGCCGACGACGACGACGACTTTGCCGCGGCGGCCTTGCCGGCCAGCGAGGCGGCGCGAGCCTTGGAGCTCGAGGCGCCCAGGTTGGACGCGGCGAGCGTGGAGGAGGCACGCTTGGGCGGCATGGTGTCGAGGCGAGGATGGATGGGTGGTGGTGGTGGTGGTGGTGGTGGTGGTGGTGCTGAGCAAGGCAGCATGCATGGCCCGATGCGGCGCTGATGCCCGGCTGCCCGCACCGGCGATGTTGGTGTGGAGGCACGCGAGAGCGACTGGGGCGGTGCGCCAGAGAGAGGAGGCGTGGGAAACGACACGTGCCGCGCCCACGCCTCACTGTCAGAAGCGCACCGCCGCGCCCGACGCGCTCTTCGCGCGTCGAAGCGCACAGACGCAAGCCGCTTGACAGCTCGCCCCCTGCAACCCGACGACGACGACGACGACGACGACCCTCACCCCTTGCTCCTTGTCCCTGCAGCTCTCGCGCCATGGCGCAGCTCTTCGCAAAGGACCCGCGCAATGCCGGCCTCTTCATCGGCGGCGAGCGCATGAGCGGCGCCGAGATCCGCAACGAAAACGTCCTCGCCGCACAGAGCATCGCCAACATCGTCAAGAGCAGCCTGGGCCCTGTGGGTCTGGACAAGTGAGTGGAGAAGGAGAGAGGGAGAAGAGGAGGCAGAGGCGCGAGGCACGGCCAAGGCGGCGGCCAGGGCGACGGCGCTGCGGGGGCGCGTGCGGGGCGACGGCGCTGCGGCGGTGCTGCCGCGCAGAGGAGAGCGACGATGGAGCTGCCGCTGTCGCTGTGCTGCAGGACGATGAACTGCTGCCATGCTGCAGACGCCAAGGGCGCCCCAACACTCCTCCCAGCGTGCCTCACTGGGTGCCGCGCCAGGCGCAAGTCTTTGCTTGCTGTGCTACGCCGCGAGCAGTGGCTCACCCTTCACCCACCAGGATGCTCGTCGACGACATTGGCGACGTGACCATCTCCAACGACGGCGCCACGATTCTCTCGCTGCTCGAAGTCGACCAGCCCGCCGGGCGCATTCTCGTCGAGCTGGCGGCACAGCAGGACAAGGAGGTCGGCGACGGCACCACGTCCGTCGTCATCATTGCCGCCGAGCTGCTGCGGCGCGCAAACGAACTCGTCAAGAACCGCATCCACCCCACGACGGTCATCACGGGCTACCGCCTCGCGTGCCGCGAGGCATGCAAGTACATGCAGGACCAGCTCAGCCAGAAGGTCGAGAGTCTGGGCAAGGAGTGCCTCGTCAACGTGGCAAAGACGAGCATGGCGAGCAAGGTGATTGGCAGGTGAGTGGCAAGTCAGCCCAAGGCGGGGCCGGGGGCCAGGCGTTGTGGTGTGATGTGGAGGGGCGAGCGTGGAGAGAATATGGCGGCCCGACATCGACTCACCGCATTCCGTGCTCACCTCTGTCTCTCTCGCGCAGCGACGATGACTTTTTCGCGCAGCTGGCCGTCGATGCCATGCTGGCCGTCAAGACGATCAACCCGCGCGGCGAGACCAAGTACCCCGTCAAGGCCGTCAATGTGCTCAAGGCGCACGGCAAGTCTGCGCGCGAGTCCGTCTTCGTGCCCGGCTATGCGCTCAACTGCACCGTCGCGTCGCAAGCCATGGTGACGCGCGTCAAGAATGCGCGCATTGCCTGTCTCGACATCAACCTGCACAAGCAGCGCATGCACATGGGCGTGCACATCACCATCGACGACCCCGCGCAGCTCGAGAAGATCCGGGCGCGCGAGAGCGAAATGGTGCTGGAGCGCGTGCGCAAGATTCTCGCCGCCGGCGCAAACGTCGTCCTCACGACCAAGGGCATCGACGATCTCTGTCTCAAGGAGTTTGTCGAGGCGGGCGCCATGGCCGTGCGGCGCTGTCGCAAGGAGGATCTGCGCCGCATTGCAAAGGCCACCGGCGGCCAGCTCGTGTCGAGTCTGGCGAACCTCGAGGGCGAAGAGACGTTTGAGGCTGCGAGCCTCGGCTCGGCCGACGAAGTGGCGCAGGAGCGCATCTCGGACGACGAGCTGATTCTGGTGCGCGGCACAAAGACGGTCTCTTCCTCGTCGATCATTCTGCGCGGGGCAAACGACTATCTGCTCGACGAGATGGAGCGCTCGCTGCACGACACGCTCAGCGTCGTCAAGCGCACGCTCGAGTCGGGCAGCGTGGTGCCGGGCGGCGGCGCCGTCGAGTCTGCGCTGAGCATCTACCTCGAGACGTTTGCCACGACGCTCGGCTCGCGCGAGCAGCTGGCAATTGCCGAGTTTGCCCAGGCGCTGCTCGTCATTCCCAAGACGCTCGCCGTCAATGCGGCAAAGGACAGCACGGACCTGGTGGCCAAGCTGCGCGCCTACCACAATGCCGCGCAGAGCGCCGGCGCCGGCGACCCCAAGAAGGCGCTGCGCTGGTACGGCCTCGACCTGCTCAACGGCGCCGTGCGCGACAATGTGCGCGCCGGCGTCCTCGAGCCGACGGTGAGCAAGGTGCGCTCCCTCAAGAGTGCCGTCGAGGCGGCAACGAGCCTGCTGCGCATCGACGACTCGTTCCGCATCCCGCCGCCCGAGCCGGAGCAAGGTGAGCACGCCGCCCCATCCCCCATACCCCCCCCCTCCCCTCCCCCTCCCCCTCCCCCTCCCAACCTCCCCTCTTCTCTTCCTGAAGTCGTCGCGGGAGAGGACTGACGCTGACTCCTCGCGCCGCCAGATCCGCATGGACACATGTGAAAGAAAAGACGCTTTGCGGGAGAGTAGAGGGTGGCGGTGACGCGCAGCGAGAATGTCTGGGACGCTGGGGAGGGGAAGGGGGGGTATAATGGACATGAGATCGGTCTGAAAGACGGGGGGGAGGGGGAGGGGATCGGAGGGGCGGAGCGCAAAGTGGAAGAGAGGTTACGAAGAACAGAAAGGGTGGGGCAAAGGAGAGGAGGGGAAGATAGGGGCTTGCTGCCCTTTGCATCGCGCGTAGGCCAGAGAGCGTCTCGGGCGGGGTTTGCTTCTGGGCGCGCGCGCGCCAGGGATTGGCGGCGGGGTCTTGCCCTTGCTGCGCTTTCGAATGGGGGAAGCTGTGCTTCAGCGCTTCGTCCGCTTCGTCGCCCGCTGCGCATCCGTGTTCTCCTCGAGCGCCACGGCGTCTGCACCGGCGCTCCTGGCGAGGCCGAGCAGCATGGGCTCAAAGGCACGTGCGCCGGGCCGACGCCGGGCACTGCTGCGCCGCGTCGTCGTCGTCGTCGTCGTCCTCGTCGTCCTCGTCGTCGTCGTCGCCTGCGCACCCGACTGCGAGCGTGGCTCTGCGTCTGCGTGCGGCGCTGGTGCTTGAGCTTCTTCTTGAGCTTGCATGCTGCGCAAAGACGGCGAAAGCGAGGCAGCGGCCGTAGCGGCAGCAGGGCGAGGAGGCGAGACGACTTGAGGCTGAGCAGGCACGCGAGAAGCAGAAGCAGCAGCAGCAGCAGCAGCAGCAGCAGCGCTTCTCGCAGGTGCTGCTGAGGCGCGTGGCGTCGCGCGGCGATGCTTGGCCGGCACGCCGACGACGCTGCTGCTGCTGCTGCTGCTGCTGCTGCTGCTGGTGGTGTCTTGCGGCTGTTGTTGTTGCCGCTGCTCGTCGTCGACGACGATGATGTCGGGCTCGGCGGATGTGAAAGGCTCCCCCTCCTCCTCAGCAGCTGCAGCAGCCGCGGGTGCAGCCGTCGAGGCAGCCGGCGCAGTCGAAGCAACAACAACAACAGCAGCAGACGACACTGACTGTTGCGACGCCTTGCCGGCGCGCTTGCGAGGCTTGGCCGCCAGCAGCGCAAGGCTTTGCTTCGGCGCCGCGTGCTGCGCGTCCGGCATCATGGCAGGAGGCGTCGCTTGAAGCGGCGCCATGGTCGCGGCCGTCGTGCTGCGCGTGTTCGCCTCGCGAGCCTCGCGAGTGCAAGGTGCTGCCGCCTCGATGGCGCCATCTTGCACCGCGCGCGCCGCCGCCGCTTGCGCCTGGCGGCCGGCCCTCTTGCGCGACGAGGGCACGATCGCAAGCTGTTCCTCCGCCGGCGACATCGTCATCTCCTGCACCTCGTTCTTCTTCTCCTCTTGCGCCCTCTTCGCTGCAGCCGCGCTGCTCGCACTCGCCTCGCGCAATCGCAATTGCATGCCCTTCCAGCGCTTCTCACACGCCTCGGGCGTGCGTTGCGGGCAGACTTTGGCGATGTGTCGCCAGTCGATGCGCGCTGCTTGTTGCTCAATGAGAAGGTGTGTTGCCGACTCGCGAGATGGCTTGCTGTTCGCCGAGAGTGACTCGATGGTCTCGATGGCGGCTGCGTCTTGCGGCAAAGGCGGCGTTGAGCGAGCGATGACGACGGCAGAAGAGGAGGAGGAGTCGTCGGCGCTCGCAGCGGCAAGAAGCGCCGCCTCGGCCTCTTGCAGTTGCGCGGCCACTGCAGCGCAAAGCGCAGAGTCCACTTGCTCCCACGTCAAGCGTGGCGCAGTCAGACGCAGACTGTCATGATGATGAGCCTGCACGTGTGACGCCAGCCTGTTCGTCGCGGCTCGTCCGGCGACTGTGTGTGTGTGTGTGAAGATGGAGAAGCACAGTGGGGAGAGAAAAGCAAGGGGGAGAGAGGTAAAGGCGTCAGCAATGGGCGTACTTCTCCACCGCTCTAAGCATGTGATGCCTCGAGTATCCGGGCTTTGGGGGAG